CCACTGCCATGAGCAGGGACACCTCCCACTAAAAGAACTTTTATTTCAGATCTTAGAATATTAGGAACTGACTATTCCAAAGTATGATGGGCAAGATGTACTGTCTATCCTTCATGCTGTACTGTGTTGATTGTATTAGAGTATGAATATGTATCTATCTACATATATGCCATGTTTGTTCTGCTAAGATTTTTGTCTAGAAAATATGCTTTTTTCCCCTATATTGGGATTATAACATTAAATGTCTATGTATATATGCTACTTCTGAGCCCTACAAATTAATTTTTTCTATCATTAAATTGAAGACAGTTCTAGAAACTCTAGCCTCCTTAATAGAGCTGGAAGCATTGCTGTTTAAAGTTCTGAATCTATAAAGTACTCATACATACAATTAACTTGGCTCACATGACTATGCACACTAATTTTACAGTGTTATTATTCATTTGAACACGGATCTGAATAGAAGACAATACAGAATATAGAATATGGATTAAATGAGATCCTTTTCATATATTGCCAATACAGTATTCACCTGTATGTCTCTTCACCTGGATTATTCATCTTTGAATATTAAATTCAAAAGCCAACTAGACAAAAAATCCAAACAACCATCCAAAACCAACCAACCAACCAAACAAACAAACCCCCCCCTGACCTGTGAGTTGGAACTGAGCGCAAATTTGGCTAATGCACTTGCTCTTGAAAGATCAATCAGAAGCAAGAAGAACGGTAAAGCTTCACTGAAAGAGAGGCATATGTTAAGAGTAAGATTCAAGGTTTACTGTACAGGGAAAAAAACTCAAGCAAGAAATCAAGAATAATAATTCATTACTTACTTCAAACCTGTCAATTCTTTATCCAAGAAGTGAATTACCACTGTACTAAAAACAAAACTTGAGAAGATTGTGAAGAGGCCAGCAATACCTTATAAATAAAAAATATTGGAAAATTCTTTTATATATATATTGGGAGAGAAAGAAAAGAAAAGAAAAAAAAAGGAAGAAACACTATGCCTTTAGATCAATTCTGAAGCAACCAAATGGCAATTCTCATCTCTCAGAGTGTATAAACAGCAGTTGAGATACAAACTGATGAGGATACTATTTTTATACAGATACTTAAATCTAAAATTTGTACTGCATTCAAAGTAAGACTGTGAGAAATTAAAGCCATAAATCTTCTCACTTATCAGCAAAACTAAAAACTGGCTTAAACAGTTCTATATTTTTAGAACTTCACACAATAAACAATTATTTCAATGGTCACATTTCCAACGTTAATATAATCCTACACAATCTCTCTTAAAAAAAATCGCACTTTGATCTATGTAGAACATTTATTCTGCTATCTAGCAAAGAATTAAAATAACCCTGTTCCATAAATAAGTATTAAAACTCTCATATTTATTATCAATTTATAGTTAAAATAAGCAATTAAAATGCTTACAGCAAATAGTATTTTTAAAAAAAATCAGATACAGTACCTAAAATGTATTTTGACCCAAGCTGCCTTAGGTTCTGGAACTGGAAATATATATAAAGGATTGCTATACAGCGTGTGATTGTCAGGATGATGATGTCACTGCTCAGAACATCCTGTTTGAAATACAAAGTGATTTAGTTAGTTTTTATATTAAGTAATAACTTCTTGTTAAGTTTCAGTAACAAAAAAAAAATCCATTGTGAAGCTGCACTAAAAATGAAGCTTTGGAATAAATTGTGTATCACTGCTAGTCTGTCTTAAAAAGATTTTATTGCAAACAATATGAATATCAAATGCTTGCTCACTATATACCATGCCACTGAAAGTTAGGCTTAATGAAAACCTTCTATAGGTGTATCACTGCTTGCATCCAGCTTTAATATCCAGCATGGGAAAAGGCAGCAATAAAGAAGTTTCTGTATAGATACTTTCTTCCTAATATATCACAACCTGATCTTATTCTATAGAAAACCCTGCATCTACAGATTAACAGTAAGTACTATAACATGAATTTAAATCCTTACTTCTTCAAGTTTGGGACACTCATAATTCCAGCCACATATCTTATCATTCCCAGTGAACATCTTCATGGACATCATACAGATGGTGAGAGTCACTGTTCCCACAATGACTTCCCATGGATGAGAGGCTACAAAAAGGCCATGCATTCGAAAGAGTCTGGACAACATTTTCAAGGCTGATTTTCTATACTTAGCAAACCTGCAACAAAAGAATATTTCATATAAGCAAGCACGAGATTCGGGGAAAAAAAGTCAGAGCTATATAAATACCTGCAAGTCATCTCTCAGAAAAACAAAACAAAGCCAAATAAAATAAATCTAAACCAGTTAAGTAACAGATGAGTAAGGAAACTCATGTTCACCTTTCAACTTTCCATGTAAATGAATGTTAACTACATAACTATATCCTAGAGTTCAAATGATGCTTAAATAGTAGTCTGACTTATAGAGACATTATGGATCATATGAGCATCAACAGCACCAATATATTTTCTTTAACCTTCCACAGTGAAGGTGTGGCAGGATTTTGATGGATGATGGAACCAACTGAGGAAAATTATTGAGAAGACTACCTTCCTTATGAAAAAATTCTTTTATTACCTGACAGAAGGCTGTTTTAAAATAACAAACAAACAAACCCAACAACAAACACACAATGAAACAACAAAAACTCCTTTTAAAGTCAACATTATACTTAGTTTTTTCTCTGTGTAATATAGTTCTATATACTGTTTTGTAAATTTATGTTCTTGTAAAACTGTTCCAAAGTGGTATTATGGTTTTTCCTCGGCAGCATGGAAGGAACCTTTTAATTAGGAAAACTAGAATAAGACATAGCCAGAGTAATATCTTAGTGCCAAATATTTTGAAACTAAACAAAAAATGGAAAAAGACATAGCAATATCCTATGAAAATATTAATACTTTTGAATACCACAGTTTCAGAAAAATCAGAACTACATGACTACATAGGGTCCTACCAGTCCTAAAATTAGTATTACATCTCTGAATTCTGACAGTTGGAATTATTATCTAGACAATTAACAAATTTTATTAGATCTAGAAAGATTCCAAAATCTTTCTCCAGATATCACTCCTCACATTTCTAAGTAAAGCTAGTAAGCATTCACGAAAATCAATTAGGGAAAAATGCATTCATTTGATTATTAAAATAATAATCCATAGTATCTATTATTAGCAAATGTTTTATAATTAACTGTTATGAATTACAGGATGCCTCTGCTGATCTTGGGGTTAACTGAGTAGCAGTAACTCCTAATCTAAAAGGGTTCTTTAAAGCCTTCATGTTTATTTAAAATGCCTGTGCATTTTTTATTTTTTTGCTATGCAATTGGCAGTTCTAGAAAACATTGATGAAGAGTTCATGCACTGATTCTCCACTACTGAGTGCTGTAAAAAAAAAACCCAGTACATATTCTCAGCTCATATTCCTAATTATCTTTAAAATATTTTTATAGCTACACTGACTTATAGCTTGAAATTAGCAAGACATAACTTTATATTTAAAGCTGAAGTTTATAATTAATATAATTTTGTTAAATTTCAAAATGGTGGTTCAAAAGGGTTGCTTTATAAATCCTATCCATTTCCTGCTTGCCTTTGTTTTCAATCAAAATTTCCAGGAGACTATTACATAAAGCAATCCATTCTGGGAATCAAAACAAAATACAAACAAAAAACCCAACTGCAACTCCTTCAAAAACTTAACCACAGTGTAAAATGCAAAGTAGATTGGTTGTATGTAATGCTTTAGAGCATAATCTGCCGCTTAACTGTATGACTATTCAACTTAAATACCTAAGATTTGTCACACAGCTCTCTAACCTCAGAGCAACCCTCTACAACACCATCTATTATCAACACAAATTTCCCGTCTCTTGTTGGCTGACTCAGCAATACAGTATTATAAAGGAATCAAGTGGCAAAAATAGCTGAGTGAAAACCTGTGTGGAGCTCACCTGAAAAGCATATGACACCACATAGACCGTATCAAATTGTCAGGTAGCGTTTTTTGGTTTTAAAAATGGAAACCACACTCACGCACGCCCCTCACTGTAGCCCCTCAAACCCCTTATGGAAGGCTGAGGGCACAGCCCTCCAGTGTGACCAAGGCTGGGCCGCCCGCGGAGCAGGGCCATCCGCAGCCCGCTTGGAAGCCGGTACAGGGG